TTTTTAATTTCACCAGATACCTTCATAATATGGTTAATTCCACATTATTCTACTTATTCATGGAAATAGTTTTAAAACTTCCCCTTCCAAAAATATAAGATATAGTCCAGAGGTATAATTATGTAATTTAATAAACCTTCTTTTAAGTGTAATATTAATTTGGAAACTTTTCTTTGTAAAACAAATAATTAGGAAAGTTTTTTTTATAATTAGAGAAGTTAAAGTTCATTTTAAAAAGCCTTTTACTTTAGGTAGTTTAAACAAAAGAAAATCTTTTACTGTTCGGCTTCATTCTTTCTTTCTCCTTCACACTGTACATTCCTTTGTAACTTTTCAACTTAATACACAGTGAATAATAACTTCACTTCACCAGCGGGCATAGTATAAGGTAAAAAGCAAAACATCTGTTGTTAGCAGTGAGATTCCGCTCCCCTCTTTGTACTTCATGTTCCCAGTTCTTTGCAGTTTCCTTTCCCATAGGAGTTATTCATTATCACAGAGAGGAAGTCTTGTCACATGCAGGGACAAATTGTTTCATTTATTTAAGATCGAGCCTTTGTGTTTCACTCCATATGCTAATACAAACCCACCTTTAATGATTAGAAAAAGATAAAATCCTTCCTTATGAGGAGCAGGAATTTCTGTATTCACAGGCTTATAAGCAAACTACATACCGAGTTGCCAATCCAGCTTCCTGAACAACAGCCACCTTTCAGGAAATCATTGTGCCAATAACACCAACAAAACTTCTTCAGTCTCTTGAGCAAGCTTTCATTATTGCTTTGTACACACACAGATTTTATCCCAGAGAAAAATCTACCCCACTGACAAAAACAAGTGAGAAAACAAAACACAAAACCACACAAACAGCTTCTAGAAGTCAGAATTCCATCCTATCCCCAAATTAAGGCTCACAATGCTTTGCTTATAAATTCATTACATCATGATTGTCAAATATTCCTTCACCAACTAAATCTTGTGGAAAGGTCCTCAGATATCACCAATACAACCTGTTAGATGACAATGCCAATGTTACTGCTTCCCACACTAAGAGAGATAACCACTTAAAGATACAACTTTGTTTCTTGGAAGTGAATGAATGTATAAGGCAAGGAACAGAACAGATTGAAAGAGAAAAAGTGATCACAATTACTTTTTGTGCCCCTTCATTTTGAAATTACCTAATTTAATATAAGCAGCATTATGTTTTAAGCACTACTTCAGATGATTACTTAAATCGAGAATTAGAAATAAAGGCTTCCATGTGCCACAATAAATCTCATGAGCCTTTTCTTGTTCTTGCACTTCTCTTCTTAGCAGATCTGAAGCTTCCCTGTGTCTATTCTGAAGGCCATTCCAATACCACATTAGGTAGAAAAAGCTAAGATGCCAACATTACCTCTGTTTAAAACAGTTTATTATCAAATACAACTATCATTTCTTTAGAGTAGGAGATAGTGCCTACAGAGAATTAAACAGAGACTTACCCTTTAATGTCTTTCTCCAGAATTCATTCCTCTGGGACAATGTGACCCTTCATCTTGAATGAGGAATCCTTCATAGGTTCTCTTGTAGAATTTGTAATGAATGATCCAGTATTGACTTTAAACTGTGTATGTTATGTCTGTTAGTTCTTAAGAGTAAAATACACTTACTGAGGCTCTGTATCTACAATGTAAAGAAATGCTCTTTGAAAGACTGAGTGAATAAATTGTTATTGATATATAATCATTTTCTGAGATTACTAATCATCCCAGGGAAATACGATATTGGAAATATACAATTTGAAGAGTGGGTTATAGCCAAATGTTGTCCAGTCCTTTTAGATTATTACCTTTATCTTAGTGGGAGTATAACAAGCATGATTTTCAAATTGTTAAAAGTGCTTTCATATAAATAATGATCGCATTAAAAAGGCAAGTTATGCATTGACTGTAAATTTGACCAATGCAATAGGGAAATGGAAACTGATTTTTAAAATATCAAGTCAAATCTGAGAATTAATATTTTACAATACAATCAAAACCCTTAGTTTGGATTCTTTCTCAACAAGTTAAAAAACAAAACAAACAAAAAGCTTTGTGGCCTAGAGATTTTTCTACCGATTACTTTCACAGGCTAAAAGGCTGTACAAGATTTAAAACTTTTTTCATTGTTAAATACACTTTCATTCTCTCAAAGAACTCAGGAGAACTAGATAGAAGCCTTACTAGAACACCTTTTAGAAAAGCAGTACATAAAGTACTGTTGTGTGAACAATTACTAGTCTGCTGAGTGTTTGGCAACTCATTCCAGTATATAAACTACTTATAGACCTAAGTGTTCTCTTGTGATCAGCTGATATTTTCTTCCTAGTAAGACTTTCTTCATAGACTTACACTCTGATATAAATTTCTTATCTCACTCTGAATTTAATTCTAAACAGATGAGGAGACCATAGGATGAAGGCGAGAGAGCTTGCTTCTCAAGCATCTTTTACCTGTTCCAACTATAAGTGAGCTGCTAAAAATCTTTGTAGTTTTTTTTCTTGGAGATTGACCTTAATAAAGAATCTGTTAAGACCTTGTAAGATACCTTAGCTCTCTTAAGATACCTTAGATAAATTTCAACTTTGTGGTTATAACCAGTTCAGTTTTCTTATGGTGACATTAATTTGTGACTGCTACTCAGAGAACATTTCTACAATCGTTAGCTTCTCACACCGAAATAAAGCATCAAGGCCTATCAAAATTAACCAAATTGAAATCTGATAAATTAGATTGGACCATATGCTAGTCATTTTTATAGATCAAAAGTGGATGAATTTTGGTATTTTCATGTGGTTCAGCTCTAAGGGTCAGTATAATTTGTTCAATAAAACAAGTAGAATTTTGTCTGTAAATACTTGATACTCTATCATTCCCTCCGATAGGTTTTGTCATGACTTTTGGAGACTTGGAGTACAATCTTGTGGTAGTGACAGTGATTTCCATGAATAAATCACACACTTCACAACACACTACACAGAGAAGAAATGGAGCAATAGATAGAATAAACCGTTAGAGATGCCTATTCTTGTTCCTAAGTTCTCACCACTGGCCGATTAAATTTTCTTCTGGCCAAAATGATCCCTACTCTGGAGCTGTTCTGAAATAAAACCATAAACAGTAACGCATGCTCAAACGAAAATGAGGCCTGGTTCATTAAAAAGTGCTTGCCAGCTGACAATATACACTCAGCTGGTTGTTTTCATATATGATTCAGAGGCAAGATATAAACATGAATCACAGAAAGAAAAACAACTTGAGATGGGTATCTGCTAGAAAAAACACTGCCATCCACAGGCTATTTTCAAGAATTTTTCTACACTCAATACCTGACTTATTACACATAATTCAAATAGAGATTCCATGTAGCTCAAATTTTAGTAATTCTGTATATTAATATATACATGGAATCTGAGTTAAATGTAATAACTCAAGAATTGATTGTATTATTTGAAAATTTGTTCTACCCAAAATTTCCTTGATTATGGTATAAGTCCTCAATTTAATGGAATTTAAAGGTAAAGTGTGAAAGTCTGAAAGATACAGTTTGGAAGCTAAGTTGGTTTACATATTACATGGATCTAAGTTTTTAAATCTTATTTAAATATTTTTGGATTTGTTGATAGAAATTTCATTTTATCATTCACGTCTCAAAATATATCTCTAGGTATTTGGTAGAACAAACTTTGGATAGTCACTACAATATATTACAAAAGGTATATTGAATAAATTAAATTTAGTAATCATGTTATTTGAGAAATAGAATTGTACCAGGATATGGATGATATAAAAAATGAATAAAGATAATAGAATAAAGATATCTCCCATGATACAAACATGGTCTAAATTTGTGAGGCAAGTTGAAAAGAGATTGAAACTATTATAGCACAAAATAGTATCATTATATGATAATCTTAATGAACTTCTATACATTCATTAACAAATTATTATTGATTTGTACTTATATTTGTCAGACTCAAAATGTTGTTCAATTAATTGAATGAAGAGGACTAATAAGGGTGAGCAGAGATTGTCATGTCTAAAAATTATGGCTGACATATCTAATGGAAAAATGCAAAAAGTATTTCCTGCTCAGCAGGAAAGAAAATGTTTTCCCTATAAAATCCAAAAAACTAACATTTTATCTTCTGTTATCTACCTATGGTACTTATCTGTAAAACCTTTGAAACCCATCTTCTACATTTAGCATGGATATTTATGTACACGTTCTATTCCCCTTACTAGATTATAAGACCCCTGGGATAATACATATATTTGTTTTTTTTTAATTGTGTGTACATGTTCATGTTCATACAACTTTATATACACACATGTATACCCCCACTTACTCATATATCTCAATTTTGTAAATAATATATGCTTAAACATAGAAATAGAAGATAAACAATACTTAAAATTCCACTACTTGTTAAGAACTGCTGCTAATATTTTGCTAAGCATCTTTCCTGTATTTTTTGTGCATTTATTTTAGAAAAATGTTACATTACACATCATGTTTTTATATCTTTAACATCCCACTTTTCATAGCAAACTGTTAGTACATCATCTCTTCACTGCATTTTAAAAACTATATTTAATCTAGAAATAACCACTGATCATAAGAACAAAATGATATTAAAATTATTCTTTTCTGTTCCTTAACAGTATTTTAAGCTCTTCCCAACTGAAAACAACATAGCATGCAGAAAATCCTCAGATTTAAAACATTCCTGATATTTTAAAAAGAATAAATAAAATATTTTCTAAGTCTAAAAATTAATTTTCCTCTCAAAAACACTTTCTTTGTTTGATTGGAAATCTGAAATGTTCTTAAATGCCATAAGAGATTGCATCTAATGAGTGAAATAAAGGATGAGGAGGAGAAACACTGTGTACAACACCAGAAAAGGAAGCAGAGAGGAGCAAGCTGTCGCTCAGTTGCGATTACCCAAAACACTAAGTCCTGGATCTCACATTTAGCAAGAGCCCTGTGACGGCAGACTCCTCTTCCCCAGAGGGGAGAAGCTGCATGTAAGGTCAGCTTCTGATGGTACCGAGGCATGTTTCTTCCGGGGCTATTGAAAATCCCAGGACTCCTGCAACTGCCAGGTTCTGGAGAGCTGACTTTCAGGAAACCCGGTAAGCCTTTAGCACCTCAAATGCAGCTGCCTAGTTTCGAGCATCCTGTATATTCCCAATTACGAGACTACTTTTGCATATGCGTATATGTGTTACAAAAAACCTAGAAGGGAGACAAGAGCTCCCTATACACCCACGCTGAGGGCCAGCCCTACCTGGGCTCCACTTATTAGAAACTCATAGACTTTCATTTTATTAAGAATACATGACGCTTCTGCCATTCATCTCGTGTTCAGCACTAAAATGACTCAATGCAATCATCTCTTCTTGGTGAGATGCAGGAAAATGTTTCTGTCTTTGTCCTCTGTGCTAGGATCAAAAGCAACTTGTCCAAGGACTTGGAGTTGGGCGGGGGAACATTCTACAGAATAATAAACTGTAACACAATGCTGGAAAACAATGAAAATGAAGTGAGATTTGATCTAAAAATTAAATAAAAATCAATTAATTCTGAAGTCCTCTATTAGATAGATAAAGTCAATTGATTCAAGCACAAAGAACTGCCATCTCCCAGAAGTCCCGAGCATTCATTCTCTTGCTGCTTTTTGTCTTCCTATTTATTGTACAGAGTTATTCACGTACAATTGTAATTAGTGTAATTAGTGCATAATCACAACAATTGCACCTGGAAAATGAATGCTGTAAAGCTGTGTAACATTAACTGTGAAACTCTTCAATTTGTATATATATTTAGCTTGAGACATATTATTACATTGTCAATTTCATGGACTTTAAGTAATACAATTACAAATATTTTATTTTTAAAATATGTAATTCCTTAGTTTTAGTAAATGTTTCGATGGAAATTTAAAATTGATTAATTACAATTATATTTTAAATAACAGGCACTATTTAATGCTTTAGAGGACAAATAACTTGTAATAACAAATAATTTTAATATTTAAAATATCTTCATTGTTTACATTTTAAAATCTCAAATTTCATATATTTTAAAGTACATTTAATTATTAAAATCCTTAACTGCATTGCTATTAATTAGCCACAGATATTGAAAATATTGATCACAAAATATATTGGCTTTATTTAAAAAGGCTACAAAAGTGTATTTAGTGGAATTAATGAAAACGTGAATTTATTTGTGCATTGAGTTTAAACTAAACATTGCTGATCCTTCAACAAGGCAGCAAGAAATGCATGATAATGATCAAAATTCACTTGTCTTTAATATCTTATGGACCATTAGTTATATACAAACCGTATTTCAAATTTGTCTTAATGAAAGTATCTTTGATAAAATAGAGTGAAAGGAAATATTTATCAACTAGCCTGTTTTATTTATAATTTTCAAATGTTTAGGTATGTAAGACCTGAATATGTATTTTCTCCAGATATGGTCCTCAGATATGAGTGTTGGACTTGTTTTTAGTGTAATTCTAAATGCCTTACCTGATTTTCCAGGTGGGGAAAAGTGGGTACATAATTGTTCTAACCTATAACTATTTGAAAGTTCCTTTCAAAAACTTTCCATATAAACATAAATTAAATGGTTATAAAAACTTTGAGTCCCAACATTTTTCCTTATAAAGCTCCACCAGTAAGTACATTTTCTTCTGGAATTCATAATAGCCAGGTGTCCATGGAACATTGAAAAGTAGCTTATCTGCTATTTCCTGGAAATATTCTAAGCATAGATATTTTAACCCAAGTTTTCTAATTGTAACTTCTATATTCTTTTTTTCTGTATAACATTAACTTGACATTGCTCTATTGGGAAAATTTTTGATAGGTAGTAATTTTATCTGATTTGACTGTTTTAGTTTCTTCCTTGAGAACATATTTGAAGGCATTTGGTATTTACATTTACTTCCTGTTCGTTTGTCATCTTCTCTTAACATTCATTCTTTCCATCAGTTCCTCACATTTAAAGGAGACCAGTATGATTAGCATGCTGCATCATTGACCTTCCATACTTTTCATTCCGTCGCCTTCAAGTCAAATCAACTTTCATGACAATTTTTTTGAGATGGGCATAACTGATAATTTGTGTTCATCTAAATTTCATTCAAAAACAGACCATACAGGAGAATATTTCACAGGGTAGTACAACATTACCCAGATCTTTTAGAATATAATATTTGCAATGTTGTAAATGCAATTCATAATTACCTACTTTAATACAACCAGGAAAGTGTATTCTCAAGAGAGAGTAATGTTAACTGAAAACTCTGATATAATCAAGTAGTTGGAATTATTTAAAAAGACTTTTAAAGCAGCTTATAGCTATGTATAATAAAACAAAAAGTCTTCTTAACAAATGCACAGGTAGAAAATATCAATGGATTAATATAAATAAGCTTTCCATACATTTAAGACAATAGAGGAAAAGTCAGTGAATATGAAAGCGCATCAACAGAAATTACACAGTCTCAAAGAAGGAAAAAAGATGCAATAAAGTAAATAAATAAAATCACTCAATGGAGACTGCCATATTTTTAACCATTTCTGGAGTACCAGAAGGAGGGGAAAATCCAATGCAACAGAAAAAAAGAATCTTTTAAAATAAATCTTAAAAGTTCTCCTACTTTGGTGAAAATCACAAATTAAGGGGAAACCAAGCAGAATAACTGTACATATGACTATGCCTATTCTTATTCTAATCAAATTGCAGAAAACCAAAATGAAATCTTGAACTCATCCTGAAAAATACTACATAGTACCTACAATGAAACAATGTCTTAAATTAATGACCTGGTCTCACCAGAAATCATTGAGAAAAGAAGTCTATGGAACAAACGCATTAAGGGAATCATGGAGGCAGGGTGAGGGAAGTCACTTGTACAAATGTAATTCTCTGTCAAGCCAAATTATTTCCCAGGTAGAAAGGTGAAACGAACACTTTTTCACATTAAACAAAAATAAAACAGAATTTTAAAAATCTGTAATCTCGTGTCATAAAAAAACTAAAAGGAACTTATTCAAATTGAATAAAAACGATACCAATGAAAGCCCAGGCATTCTAGAAGGAACTAATTACTCCAGAAATGGTAAATACACAGATTTAGATAAAAGGCTACTTCATTTAATTTCTTTAAAATGTGTAACTCTATAATATAATTATGCCATAATATAAAGACAAATGCTAAAACATTGTTTAGTAGTATTTATGCTATCTAGAATTAATGCTTGTTTCCAAGTTTTAGCTATTACAAACTGTGCCGCTATAAACATTGCTGAGCATATATCACTGTGATATGATTCTTTTAATTCTGTTGGAAAGATCAAGATGTAGGGAAAGTGGGAAGGGTAAGGGAAAGGTAATAATGGAAAAGAAAACAATAGGAGAAAATGAAAAAATGGAAATAAAATGTTTGTAAATGGGGAGGGAAGGAGGAGGTGAAGGGAGGGCAGGGACAAGGGGAAAAAAGGAGAACCAAGACCTGTCATGTAAAGGTACAAGACCCCAATGATGACTGTAACTGTACTGTATACCTAAAATGTACCAATAAACTCAATGAGGAAAAAAAATAGAATTAATGCTTGTTAAAATAGCAGGGAGAGCAGGAGCTGGAGTAGCGGGCCCTGCTTTCCTGGATGTGTTGTTAGAATGCAGCTGAAGCTCTCCTCTGCCCGCTCCTATGGCTGCCTCCCTGTGACAATGGTGAACACACTGCTTGCCCCAAAAAGTATCACATAAAAGAGGATAAAAGTTTCTGCATATTTGCATATTTCTGCACTTTTACAACAAGTGGCGTGATATTAAATTTAAGTAGACTAAGAACAAGTGGGCTGGTGTTATCACAGGAACAAACATTAAAAACTGTGAGAGACAGTTTCAACACCAAAATACCCATTGGAATTCAAAAAATTAACTTTTAATCTAAAAGAATGCAAATGAGGTAGAATAGAAAAAGGTAAAATAGAGCAGACAAACATAAAAGAAATAATAATATGGCAAACAAAAACTTCACCACAAGGGTATTACACTAAAATTCTAAAAGGTGGATTATCACAGAGAGATTCTCTACTAAATGCACATTATGTTCTCTAAGGAACACATGTTTCATCTATAAAGAGGCTCATAGGCTGAAGATGAAATAAACACAATATGCATCCAATTTTTACTATTCATAGATTTCATGTTTGAAAGTTTACTTACTTGCAAAATTTTATTTGTAACCACAAATTTAATACTTCACAGGGCTTTCCCAATTATTCACAAACATGAACAGGTCATGCATGTACCCCGCAGGGGTAAATCAAATAATTCCACCCTCTTGGTTCAGGTCTCAAACTGTGAAAAAATGCCATTTTGAAGTCAATTTTGTGCCCCATTTTTCAATTTTTATTTATTTATTTGTTTGTTTATTTATTTATTTAGGTACTGGAGATTGCGCTTGCAAGGCAGGGGGTGGAACCACTGAGCTAAATCCCTGGTCCATAAAAGTACATTTATTTGTTTTTTTGGTACCGGGGATTGAACTCAGGTCCTTGAGCCTGAGAGGCACGTGGTGGAACCACTGTGCTAAATCCACGCCATTTTTCAAATTTTTGTGTTTTATTTATGACTTTGCTGTTTAAAATGGCTCTGAATTGTAGTGCTGAAGTATCATAGTGCTCTCAAGTACCGGGCTATGATGTAACCAAGTGGAAAAAATATTTGTGTTAGATAAATTTCTCTGAGACTTGAATTACAGTGCCTGGCATGGTGGCACATGCCTGCCTGTAATCCCAGTGCTCAGGAGGCTGAGGCAGGAGACCGCTGTGAGTTCCAGTCCAGCCCAAGCTACTGGTGAGTCGAAGGCCAGTCTGTAACAACATAGCCACATTACAACCATATTTCAGAACCTTGGATTTAAAAATTAAATTATCAGTGCTTTCCAGAATAGCTCCTTTTGTTGTAAAATTATTCCTATGGAAGTGAAAATTTGCTTTCTGAATGTATAAATGTCGTGTTACATTAAACAAGAAATACCATTTGCAGACCTGTAACTGAGGTTCTACTCATTAGTCTCCCTGCATGAAAATGTATTATTATCCTT